GTTTAACCTATTAAAAAAGGGCCTCAATGTGTAATGATGTTGAAAGAATATGTTTGTAATAAATAAAGCCATAAGGAAAATACTTATATGTTAATTTTACTACAGTTAAGAACCCGTACATTATTTAAAACTTAAAACTATTCCCCCATAGGCCTATATTACTACTAGTTTAACGCCAGCGTTAATATAGCGAACGCCGTTTGTGTGAACACTTTAACATAGCCTTAGTTTTAGTGGTTAATTGAGAAATTTTATTAGCATTCCTAAGATTTCTGTTGTGATTTTGGAAACGAGTCGGTGGAATCAGATCGAAAGAGTGGGCTGTTGAGGACAGACCCTTACTTAACTTATGACAGTGGGCTATCCTCCTCACCGAGAGTAAATCAAAATCACAGGCCTAAGGCCTGTTCGTATGGAAGTAAAATTTCTACCATGGATAATATGACAAGCCCGAGAGTGGTCTGACGAAGAAAACACAATAAATTATACGTTTCAAGAGATCGACCAATCACGTTGGCAATATTAGCTACTTTGGTCTCTTTCCTGTGCTCTCTGTAAATGAAATGGTAAAGGGGTTCTTTTTCTATTGCATTTTACTTAGTTATAATGTATATGATTTGTTGATTGTGAGAGTACATATTAAACGTATTATTGATAGACAGACTCCTTTTTGTTTATCGACACACAAGAAACACAAATATTAATATGCTTATGAAAGATAAGAAGTGAGTCAATATATTTTTATATTCAACAAACAATATTGTTATGCATACTCATGTATCAAATATTTTTTTTTATAGATATCATAATTGTTATGACGTATGCAGTTATTACAATATTTATTATTGATTCATTTATGTCTTGAAATGGTTTTCCTAGAAAATTAGCTTACAAACCTTTGTATACATTTCTTTGTGATAATCCTAAATGGTGTTAATTTTTTGTTGTTGTTTATTTCAATTCCAAATAACATACAAAAACAAACAAAACAACGCCGACGCAGCGGCAACATTACAATAGATTAATTAGATTCATTAATAAAAGAAAAGGAAATTTAAGCAAAACAAGACCATAACCAATTATCAATAAGGTCTTTGACCTCGGTAGAACTTAAAGAATCTTTTCCCATTTCTTTAAATGCAGCTTATATTTGTTACTATTTCTGGCAACTATAGCTTCAATCCTTTCTGTATATTTTACTAAATTTATAAATGCTTTTATGTTTGGTATATCATTTTGAATTTTACATCTAAAAATATAAAATTTTGCCAGAAGTAACACATTATTGACAATATAATTACTATTATTGACTCCAAAGAATATACATTTTTTTGAGAAACAGTTGGAATATATATGCTTCCTGTTGCAGAAACGTTCAAGTTTCTCAAGGAAATAAGACACAATGGTATATTCATAGAATAAAAGTGACAAGGTTTGTATAGCTTCTTTACAAAAATTACAGATTGGTGAATCAATTATCTTAAGCCTAAAAAGAAAGTTATTTGTTGCTATGCGTCTATGAATAAATTTAAATTGGAAATTTTTTATCTTGTATCTAGAGTACACTTTGTAGGACACATAAAAATAGTTTCCAAATTCAATACATCTCCAAATTCTGTTTCCCATATATTCTTAGATGCGGTTGGTATTGAAACATATTTTTTAAATTAAACTGGAATATATTATTTTATTATGATTTTCATTGATAGAAATTTGTGTTGTTTGTTTATGTGTGTGAAATTTCCAGGATCGTGCACTAGATTTTTCCCCAGTTTTTTTGAATTGCGCTTAAAATGCCATTGTACTTAAGAACACTAGTTTTTATATTGAATTTTTGTTGAAGTTTATTAAATGGAAGAAAATTACCACCTACAATCAAATCACATATATATTTAACCCCCGCTTTCCACTAACTGGAATTAAATATAGATTTACCATCAATTCTAATAAAACTGTTACTGTATTCCATAAAGATTGCGAAATACATTCTTCCTTCGTTTCCGGATGAAAAAAAAAGCAAATTTTGACCAGGCCATGATCACATCTCTGTAGAAACCATGAGAAATTCGTTGGAATAAAATAGAATCAGTGTCGAAATTACATTCAAATAAATACATTTTTCCATAAATACTAATTTCGTGATCAAAGAATAATTTCCATTTGCATTATTATTTTTGTCCATGTAACGTTTTACCCAAGCGGCTTTCAGGGCCTCCGAAAAACTTTTCATGTGCGGCATGTTCAAACCCCCACATTCGTATTTGTTGTACATTATTGATCTTTTGATAAGGTCTGGTCTGTCATTCCAAGTAAATTTGAATAACATTTTGCGCTTCATTCAAAAAAAGAGGGAGGTGGGTTTGGCAAAATTGACAGGCAGTAAACTAATTTAGGAATGAAAAGACTTTTTATCAGTGTAGTTTTTCCTTATAATGTAAGCGCTCTAGTCTTCCATATGCGCATAGACAATTCCATGTCATTAAGCTTTCTTTTCATATTATTGTTGATAACTTTTTCTGTGTCCGTTGAAACAAAAATACCTAGATATTTCGTATCTTCTTGCGACCATTCTAATTTTTCGTTTAAATTGTACTTAGTGTAGCTATGTTTACTGCTTCCTATTCGCATAACACGGCATTTGTCGGAATTGAAAATTCGTGTATAATTCCAAGAGCTGTAGATATTGAACTATATTCGTCATCCAGATATAATACAGTATCATCTGCATATTGACTTATTTTTATCATATTATCTTTTATAGAGATACCTTTTATTGCTATTGTCGTATTCTAATTGCAAAACATTCAGCACATAATACAAATATAATAGGTGATAGTGGACAGCCCTGTCTTACGCCACGCGAGAGATTAAAGAAATTGGTAGTATTTCCATTATTTATAATTGTATTTTGTATATCATTGTACATTACCTGAATTTTTTTGCAAATTTTTCTCCAAACCCAAAAGTCACCAGTGCTTTTTGTATAAAGCACCGTACAATTTTATCGAATGCTTTTTCGTAATCAAGAAAAAGTAGTAGTCCGGGAATATTTTTCCTCTTCAGTATATTTAATAATATCAAATATTAAGCGAATGTTTTCGCCTATATAACGTCCTTTAAGAAAACCAGTCTGATCCGAATGAATGATGAGGGTAAAACTCTTTTTAACTTGTTAGCAACACTTTTGGCAATAATTTTATAGTCCGTGTTTAATAATGTTATCGGTCGCCAGTTCTTTAAATATAAAACAGAATTATTTTTCGTAGGGATAAGTGTAAATATACCTCTTTTCATGTGAAATCGACAAATTCTGTTTAAATAAAGAGAACTTAAAGGCGTGTACCAGGTGATCTTTCAAATCATCCCAGAACGTTTTTTAAAAATCAGCGGAGAGGCCATCTGTCCCAGGCGTCTTACCGTTAGCCATAGATTGCAAAGCTATGTAACAACTATCTGCAGAGATGGGCTCTTCGCAGATTTCAACATTCTCTTTTTGCAATTTTTTAATTTCAAGATCTTTAATAAAATTATTGAAATTTCTCTCACACGATTTAAATTTGGATTTATATAAGTTAGTATAAAAAAATATAAGTTAGTATAAAAACGTTCCTCTTCTAACAAATAGAATATCATTTGGTTGATATCGTATTCGCATCAATAAATGTTAGTGTTTCTAAAGTCAGCACCTTACGTATTTGAGTTTCATTACAGCTAGTGTATATATATATAGACAAGGCCTATATATAGACAGTAGCTAAGCCTATATTATATATGAGGCATGTTGTGGCGAAATGGTTAAATTGTCACACAGTCCAGTATTGAGTAAATAAGCTATAAAATATGGGAGCTCTAAAAATTGCCTAAAAATCCAAATTTGTTTTTCACTATAGATCAACAGTTTAATGTCTTATTAATCATGTCCCAAAGTATTAGTTCATTCTATTAAACAATGTATGCACAAATAACTTTGAAAGGCAATTACTCAAAATCATGTTTTTCTTGACTCAACAACAACTACAACTACAACTACAACTGTACTTTCACTTTCCAATAACTTAGGCTTGAAATGTCCAATTTGAATGTATGACCTCATTTTAAAGATCACATACTCAGGTATCTGAAAGTACTAATAACTTGAATTTCAATTTTTGCCACAACATGCCTCATATA